CACCTCTGCAGGCGTGGGAGTCCTGGTCCGCCCCTGGGTACATCTTCAGCGCGTCGAGTCCGCCGATGACCACATCGCCGTTCGCTGCTCGGCCCGCCTTGGCTTTTGGATGACCTCCCTCGGCGATCGCGAAGGCGCGCTGTTGGTGTCAGCGTACTTTCACACCAGTCAGGGTCTCAGCGACTTCAACCTGGACTTGATGATGAACCTCGGCTCCGTGATTCGAGCCATGCGCAGGCCCTTCGTGGCCGGGGCCGACTGGAACATGACTCCAGAGGTGGTGGAGGAGGCGCAGCTGCTCCTGTCCCTGGACGCGAGGTTAGCATGCTCCAGTGCAGCCACATGCGTCACACACAAGGCTGCTCAGGAGATCGACTTCTTCTGTGTGAGCCAAGATGCAGCTGTGCGGTCTGTCCGCAGGTGCGACCGCTTCGCGGTTCGCACTCACAGGGCCGTCGTCCTGCAGCTGGCCCTCCCTCCGCCTGGCGCGACGGTCCCACGCCTGCGCAGGCCGCGGCCCTTCCCCGTGAAGGCGCTCATCGGGCCGCAGCTGCCCCCGCCAGGCTGGCAGGACGTGATCGACGACCTCGACGCGGCGGTGACGCCTGCTGGGCTGGGCGCCGCCTGCAGCCGCGCCCTCGACCGCTGCGAGGACGAGCTGCTGCAGCACCTCGGCCTGGGCGCAGGCCGCGAGGCGGACCGCTACCGCGGCAGGAGCGAGGGAGCTCGCCTGGCCCAGGTGCAGCTGCGCCGTCAGCGACAGCGCTGGACGCCCACTGCCAGGGCCGCCCCCGCGGAGCAGCACTGGAGCTGGCTGGCGGAACGGCTGCGCGAATGGCAGGTCCTGAGGCGCGCGGGCAGTCACCAGCACGCGAGGAGGCTGCAGGTGAGCTGCTTCGCTTCAAGCCGCCTGTGCTGGGCGCAGACCAGGTCATTTGGCAGACCTGGCGCCGCCTGGCTCGCAAGCCCCCCTTTCTCGCCGCCGAGCAGGTGGAGGGGCTCTTGGGCACTCTCCAGCGGGCCGCTGACGCTGCCGAGGGCCGCGCGTCCCACCGCCGCTACAAGGCCCGGCTCGACTGGTCGCGCGAGGCCACGGCTGGCGACGGCCTTCGCAAAGGCTTCCGCTGGCTCCGCGAGGCCGCTCCCTGGGCAGCGGACCGCTGGCAGCCCAAGACGGGGCTCCAGTCCGCGCAGCTGGTGGCGGAGGCGGCTGCGCGACCGTGGCATGCGCTCTGGGGCGATGGCGCTGGCAGTGCTGCGGTCTCCTGGCCCCAGGAGCTAGGCGAGCCCCCACGCCTGCCCACGGTTGAGGAGCTTCGCCAGGTCGGGCACACCTTCCCCTTCCTCACGGGCCTGGGCTGCGACGCCATCCACCCGCGCCACGTGGCGGTGCTCTGCGATGCCGCGCTCGAGGCTTGCATCGCGCTCTGGCGCCGCATGCTGACGCTGGGCTGCGTGCCGCAGGCTTCGGCGGCGATGCAGATGGTGCTGCTGCCGAAGCCCGAGGGCGGCGTGCGCACCATTGGCCTGGCGCCAGGCATCATGCGACCCTTCGCGCGGTGGACCAGGCACCCCCTCGGCGCCCGCTGGGCCGCGCTCCACCACAAGGACTACATATACGGCGCCGCTGGCCAGAGCTGCGAGACCTGCGCGTGGGTCCAAGCGGCGACCGCGGAGGTGGCCACTCACCGTGGCCAGGCTGCCTGCACGGTGCTCATGGACCTGTCCAAGGCGCACGAGCACATCCCCTGGGCGCTGCTGGTCCAGCGCGCCGAGGCCCAGGGCTTCAACGTGCATATGATGAGGCTCCTCCTCCAGGTATACGCCACGAAGCGCATCGTCTGCTACCAAGGCGTGGCCACCGCGGCATGTCGCCCCCAGCGGGGCGTCGTGGCAGGCTGCAGCTTTGCCGACCTGTGCATGCGGATGTTCCTGCTGCCGCGCCTGGACGCCATCGTGGCCCTGCGGACGGTGCAGGTGAGCAACGTGGTCGACGACATCCAGCTGGCCCAGACGGGCCTGGCGAGGCGCGTGGCGGCTCAGGTCAGCGCGGCGTATGCGACGCTGCAAGGCGGTTTACTGGCCGATGGCCTGACGGTCGACGACGGCAAGGGGGTGGTTCTGGCGAACACCTCCGAGCGCAGCCGCGAGGTCCAGCGGCGCTGCGCGGCGCTGCGGGGCAAGGGCCGCCGCTCAGCACGGAACCGGGGCGTGGGCTACGGCTGCGGGCGGCGGCCTGGTGTGGCCACGAGGAGCAAGCGCATGGCCACCGTGATTCGACGCTCGGCACGCATTCGAGTGCTGCGGGCGGCGCGAGGCAAAACACAGCAGCTTGTCTCTCTAGGTCTCACGCCTGCTGGTACTTGGGGGGGCGGGGTGACTGGGAGGGCTTGGAGTGGGATCGAACCGATGCGACGTGCTGCTCACGCTGCTCTCTTCGTTCGTACCGCTCGGCGCCCCCTCGCTCTCGACCTCCACCTCGCCCCCTCGGCGCCGCGGACGATCGACCCAGCGTGCGTGTGCACGCTAAGTCCGATATATATGCTCGCCCAGGCGGTATGGGAGTCTTGGATTTCTCGGGAGTGGATCGCCCGACTTTCATTAGCAGCTGATGCCGCCCTGGATCGCCCCACCGTTTCGAAAAGCGAGTGGGCTTCTGTGCGTGGCCCGATTTCGGCGGCTTTAGCCAGCTGCAGGCGCATCGGGTGGAAACTTGGCCCTGGGGTGTGTTCGTTAGAAACCAGGAACTTCAAGGTTGACCTGCTCTCGGTTTGTCCGCGGACGGTCCAACACCTGGCGCGCTTGAGCGCGGAAGATTAGCTCCTCGACCGAGCCCAGCAGAGCTCGGAGTTTATGTCTGGCCTCCCCATCCCGCCCCTTCCTTGCCCCTCTCCGACGTCTCTGCAACGGAGCGTTTGGGCCTGAGTGGACCACTCGGCATCAGGCCACCCTCCGCACGATTGTCTCGAATGGAGTTTGGGATCAGGCTCGAAAGGTGCGCCATGGCCTCACGAGTTGTCGCACGTGCCCGTTGTGTCACATTGAGTCCTGCCCTGGCACCTTCGAAGCCTGGGTTTCAGGAGTGTGCTCGGCCACGTGGGATTACGTTCGTGAGTATGACCTCCCTCCTTCTCTGAGGGCCGACTTGGGTGAGCACTCGGCCTGGGCCCTCTGGAGGCACGCCCTGGTCCCCGATCCTCGGCCCTCTGTCCCGAGCCCGTCCTCCTCCCTCCTCGCCCAGTGGCTCAAGCGCCCTGCCCCTGGTAGCATCGAAGGCTCGGCCTTCGGTGACGGCTCCTGCACCTCACCTGTGCAGGGAGACCCCCGACTCTGCCGAGCGGGCTGGTCCGTGGGTCAGGTCGACGCACAGGGCTGCCTGTCTGCTTCCTTGTGCGGCTTGCTTCCTGGCCCGCACCAGGCGTCGGACCTCGCTGAGGCTTTCGCCCTCCTGATGTACCTGACGCACGTGGCCTTGGGGCCCTACTGCTTCCACTCGGACTGTGCCTGGGTGGTCTCGAGCTTCGCGCGCGGGCGCGCCGAGACCACAGGCGTTCAGTGCGAGGCGGCGGACCTCTGGACTCGCATCTGGGATCGTGTGGACGACCTGGGCTGCGAGGTCCAGATTGTGAAGGTCAAGGGCCACGCTCGACGCTGCGATGACGGCGACACGGAGCGAGGCCTCGTCAAGCGCTGGGGGAACCACTACGCGGACCTCGGCGCCCAAACGGGCGCGGCCCTTCACCCCACGGACCCAGTGGCGGTGGAGCGGGTTCGACGCACCTTCAACCTGGTGACGTTCGTCGCCAGGTTTTTGGCTCGTGTATTGCGTTCAGCGGACCCGAGCCAGCAGGATGCGCCGCGACCTGGCCACCTGCGACGCGCACGCAAACTGGGCCGCGCCCCCGCGCTGACGGCAGACACGGCGCTGCCAGCGGGGGTGCATGAGCCCGTGCCGTGTGGCAAGGGCTACCGCTGCAGCCGCTGCTTCCGCGTCGCCAGGACGCGAGATGGCTTCGTGCCAGCGGCGTGCAGCCCTGGCGGAGGCCACCGCGTCTGGGTCGCGGGGCCCTTCGTGTTCTGCGCGAGGTGCGGGGCGCATTCCAGCGAGAACGCGCAGCTCCTCGCGCAGCCTTGCCTTGGGGTCATACCCCCACAGACGCGGTCCCGCGTGGGCCGCCTGTGGGAAGGGAGGCACCCGCGCACTGGCTTGCTGCTGCCCACAGCTAGCGGCCAGGCTCGGCCTCAGCCGTTCGCCGACTTCGTCCTCGACGCCCTGGTCGGAGACCTGGTTGTCGTGGACGAAGCCGCCGATGGCGAGTAGGCCCCTGGCTGCGCCTGCTGGCACTCCCTCTGGGAGGTGCTCGGGCCCTTTCACTCTGCCAGGCTTGTGCCTGAGCCGCTTTGCTGTGCCTGCACGCTTGGCGCCGCACCAGTTGAAAAGTCCTTCTTCCCACGGCCGGCCGCGCGGAGGCAGCGTATAGATTGGCTCTCGAGGGGGAGCATCCAGCTGCAACCGGCGATACCTCGCCACACTGTCGGCGACAGGCCCCCACACAGCAACGAACCCGCACGCTCCCAGGCGGGGCGGACGATCGGGGCTTTGTCGGTGCTGCGCGGGCGACTGGAGGTCAGTGCGCTCCCCCTGCGCCGACCCTCCTCGTCTCCACGTCAAAACGGGTCCATGCGTCAAAGCTCGGTTCCCTGGCGGCCGCTCGGGACGATGCTGGGCACCCCCAGGAACGCCCTCGAAGAGGCGCAGCTGAGCCGATGTAACCACCCCGGGGTCTTATCTTGCCGTCGCTCGGACGTCCATTTCCCGTGCATTTGTTGGTTTCGTGCGTGTTTTTTTTTTTTGCTCGATGGTCCAGGATGGTCCTCGATGGTTCTCGCCGAGCAAAAATGCACACGTCCGAGCGATGCACGCCCCCTAAAAGGTTGCCCCTGAGAGGAGCACGCCGAGGGCGGCCCCATGGCGGCGGGCGGGAACTGCGCGGGGCGGCCTGCTCCCGAAACGCGCTGGGTCTATGGTGTCCAAGTTCGCCAGGAACCCGTGCCACTCCTCGTCCTCGGTGCGCACCACGGGCCCCAGGCCTCCAACGCATTGAGCAAATCACGGCGGAAACTATCCGTCGTTCTCGGCTTCTTGGGCCTCCGCCGAGCCCAGGGACGGTCATCGACGATCCGGGACGAAATAATGGCCCCCAGGAGGTGGCGCAGAGCTCCAAGGAGGGGGAGGAGGATGAAAAAGATTCCTCCTGTCAGTATCTGTTCGACGCCGCCAGGAACGCGTGTCCCGAATTGGCGACGCGCAGGATGAAAATGATCCCGGCAAAGCAACCTAACAGCGATGTGCAGGAGCATATCTGGAAGCATTCCACTTACGATTCAGATGAGCATCCAGTTGTAGAATTCTGCTGTTCTCGCAGTCGTAGTCGCATTCGCGATGACAGTCGCAGTGGCCTGCATCAGCCTCAGCCTCAGCCTCAGCCTGCCTCAGCATCAGCCTCGGCCTGCTTCAGCCTCAGCCGCGGTCTGCCTGCAGCCTCGGCCTCAGCCTCAGCCTGCTCAGCCTCAGCCTCAGCAGCCTCAGCCTGCCTCAGCCTCAGCCTCAGCCTCAGCCTCAGCCTCAGCCTCAGCCTCAGCCTGCTTCAGCCTCAGCCTCAGTCTGCCTTCAGCCTCGGCCTCAGCCTCAGCCTGCCTCAGCCTCAGCCTGCATCAGCCTCAGCCTCAGCCTCAGCCTGCCTCAGCATCAGCCAGCCTCAGCCTCAGCCTCAGCCTCAGCCTCAGCCTCAGCCTCAGCCTGCTTCAGCCTCAGCCTCAGTCTGCCTTCAGCCTCAGCCAGCCTGCCTCAGCCTCCTCTCAGCCTCAGCCTCAGCCTCAGCCTCAGCCTCAGCCTGCCTCAGCCTCAGCCTGCATCAGCCTCAGCCTCAGCCTCAGCCTGCCTCAGCATCAGCCTGCCTCAGCCTCAGCCTCAGCCTGCCTCAGCCTCAGCCTCAGCTGCTTCAGCCTCAGCCTCAGTCTGCCTTCAGCCTCGGCCTCAGCCTCAGCCTGCCTCAGCCTCAGCCTGCATCAGCCTCAGCCTCAGCCTCAGCCTGCCTCAGCATCAGCCTGCCTCAGCCTCAGCCTCAGCCTGCCTCAGCCTCAGCCTCAGCCTGCATCAGCCTCAGCCTCAGCCTGCCTTCAGCCTCGGCCTCAGCCTCAGCCTGCCTCAGCCTCAGCCTGCAGCCTCAGCCTCAGCCTCAGCCTGCCTCAGCTCAGCCTGCCTCAGCCTCAGCCTCAGCCTCAGCCTCAGCCTCAGCCTCAGCCTCAGCCTGCCTCAGCCTCAGCCTCAGCCTGCTTCAGCCTCAGCCTCATCAGCCTTCAGCCTCAGCCTCAGCCTCCTGCATCAGCCTCAGCCTCAGCCTCAGCCTCAGCATCAGCCTGCCTCAGCCTCAGCCTCAGCCTCAGCCTCAGCCTCAGCCTCAGCCTCAGCCTCAGCCTCAGCCTCCTCAGCCTCAGCCTCAGCCTCAGCCTCAGCCTCAGCCTCAGCCTCAGCCTGCTCAGCCTCAGCCTCAGCCTCAGCCTCAGCCTCAGCCTCAGCCTCCTCCTCAGCCTGCCTCAGCCTCAGCCCTCAGCCTCCTCAGCCTGCCTCTCAAAATGTGGCCTTCTGGGAACTCGAAGAACACGAAGTGGCCTACAGTTGGCTCCGGGCATTCAAAATCATGCCCAGGAATGGAATTCTGGGAACTCGAGACCACGAAGTGGCCTACAGTTGGCCCCGGGCATTCAAAATCATGCCCAGGAATGGAGTTCTGGGAACTCGAAGACCACGAAGTGGCCTACAGTTGGCTCCGGGCATTCAAAATCATGCCCAGGAATGGAGTTCTGGGAATCGAAGACCACGAAGTGGCCTACAGTTGGCTCCGGGCATTCAAAATCATGCCAAGGAATGGAGTTCTGGAACCTCGGAGACCACGAAGTGTTTAACTGTTTGCTTAAATCGACTTCCGCGGCTTCTCCCTGGATCCTGCCCGGACCCCCCTGGGGCGTCAAGATGCTCTCTTTTAACCCACTAGAAACCTATCAGTCTTCGCTGTTAGGTAATGAGGATGATGAGGAGGAGGCGGAAGCTGCGAACCCAGAGCTTTGAGTCAGACCAGCGTCAGGATCAGAGAGGAGGAGGACGAAGAGGAGGAGGAGGAGGAGGAGCAGCAGCAAGAAAAGGAGGAGAAACTGCGACCCCAGTCGTCCTCGCCACGGCATCTCCCTCTCTCTTTATCCTTCTATATGTTTGTGTGTTGTTTTGTTCCCCCCTTTCTCTCTCTCTCTCTATCCCTCTCTTATGTTTGTGAAATTGTTTTGGTATTCCTCTCTAGTTTTATATACATATTTAGTGTAACTATACACAGCTATATGTATGTATGCATGTATGTTTGTATGTCTGTCTGTCTGTCTGCCTGTCTGTCTGTCTGTCTGTCTGTCTGTCTGTCTGTATGTATGTATGTATGTATGTATGTTTGCATGCATGTACGTATGTACGTATGTACGTATGCACGTATGCACGTATGTACGTATGTACGTGTGTACGTATGCACGTATGTACGTATGTACGCATGTACGTGTGTACGTATGTATGTGTGTATGTGTGTATGTATGTATGTATGTATGTATGTATGTATGCATACATGCATGTATGTATGTATGTATGTATGTATGTATGTATGCATGGATGTATGTATGTGTGTATGTATGTATGTGTGTATGTATTTTATATATATACATATATATATATATATATATATATATGCATAGTTGGATACACATGCGTGTGCATACATTGTGTGCCCCATGTCATGGTGGCAGACTTGTATTTCCCCCTTTTCTCGGCCGGGAAACGGGGAAGCACTTGCTGGGCGTCGAGTGATGGGGGGGCGGTCGCTGGGGGGCCAGGAACAAAAACATGCACCTCTCATGCCCCAGAGGGCCCAAATAGGTGCACGAGGAATGGCTTCTCTTTCTTCCAACGCCCCTGTTTCCCCTAGGGAAGGCGTGCCCTCCCTTTCGTTTTGTGCCAGAAGACAAGCGGCACCAGCCCAACTGCGGCCCCGCGAGCCTCAGCGCATACCATGAATTCCGGTTTTGGCTTTTTCGCGGAATACGCTACGGCGCCCGACGGGCGGTGGCGCACCATGGGGGGCCGTGGGAGGGGTGGCGTCGCGATTTTTGTTTGGCGCGGGGCGAGCTGTCAGAGGGCCCTCGTTCGCCCGAGATGGCTCCAATGAGGCTTCCGACGCTCCAGCATGGGCGCAGAAAGTGGCCGCGACCAAGCGCTCTCGGGGCCCCTTTCGCCCCGCACCCCCTCTTGGGGCCGGCCTCTTTCAATCGCCGGAAGAAATTATATGACTTGCGCGCCTGATCGCCTCTTCGCTTGCGGCGCGTTCTTGACGCCCCAAGACGGCCCAACCAAGGCTATAGAGGGGCATCAGAGGCGCCCGGTATGGCTCCAACGGAATCGCCCAGAACCGCCCGAAGAGGGCCCCCAAGAGCAATTTTGAGGGCGCCGGACAGGGGGGGGGGAGGGCCCCCCCAGGGCATTTTTTGGTCCCACCCAAGCATTTTTAGGGCCCCCTTCCTTTGATCGATAGATTCAAGATGGCCTCGAAAGGCCCTGGCCCCTACAGAGGCTCCGGCGACAGCTCCGATAGGGTCCCAAGACGGCCCTCGTGCGGCCTCGAACGCATCCCGCGAGGGCCCAAGGGGGCGGTCTGCCTTTTTCCCCATATCCTAAGATGGGGTTATTGTTATTACTTGGACGCCTCCTACTCCCTCTCCCTCCTCCTCTTTCCTCCTCCCCTCCTCCTCTTCCCTCGTACTCAGACCTACTCATACTCAGACTTACTCATACTCAGACTTACTCATACTCAGACCTACTCATACTCAGACTTACTCACACTCAGACATACTCATACACAGACTTACTCATACACAGACTTACTCACACCCAGACGTACTCATACACAGACTTACTCATACCCAGACTTACACATACACAGTATTATTCATACTCAGACTTACTCATACCCAGACGTACACATACACAGACTTCTCATACACAGACCTACTTATACCCAGACTTACTCATACACAGACTTACTCATACACAGACTTACTAATACTCAGGCATCCTCATACTCAGACCTACTCATACTCAGACTTACTCAACACACATCAGATTTGGAGGATGTCTCAAGCGGGGCGCTGGTTTCAGCACCCGTAAGGGGAACCGCCAGGGGTGTTTGCACGGGCTCGTTCGCGGCCATTTTGTGGGGCTGTCTCAAGCGGTTTGCTTGTTTCTGGGCTCAACATCCTTCGCTTGGAGAGCAGATTGTGAGGATGTCTCAGGCGGGGCGCTGGTTCCAGCACCCCTAAGGGGAGCCGCCAGGGGTGTTTGCACGGGCTCGTTCGCGGCCATTTTGTGGGGATGTCTCAAGCGGTTTGCTTGTTTCTGGGCTCAACATCCTTCGCTTGGAAAGCAGATTGTGAGGATGTCTCAGGCGGGGCGCTGGTTTCAGCACCCCTAAGGGGGGCCGCCAGGGGTGTTTGCACGGGCTCGTTCGCGGCCATCTTGTGGGGATGTCTCAGGCGGTTCGCCTGTTTCTGGGCTCAACATCCTTCGCTTGGAGAGCTGATTGTGAGGATGTCTCAGGCGGGGCGCTGGTTTCAGCACCCCTAAGCGGAGCCGCCAGGGGTGGTTGCACGGGCTCGTTCGCGGTCTGTTTGTGGGGATGTCTCAGGCGGTTTGCTCGTTTTCATGCCCAACATCGCCGGCGGGGCTGCGCCTCCAAGAAATGGTGAAACGCGCCCTGGGGAACCAGGGTTGAGGAGGAAGAGGGGGAGGAACCAAGCGGGCGCGGCGCGACGCCCGCGCGCTCGAGGTGCCTTTGGTTTTCCTGCAGGCTGCCGACGAGTGCCAAACCATCAAAGACAAGGAGACGTACTCCAAGATGCTGAAAGTCGCCAACATGTACAACGCGGGCCGCATGTACGGCGCGCTACCCGCCCACGCGAGCCCAGGTAAACTACAAC